TGGGGGGTGGGGAACTGGGGGGGGATAGCAGGGGGAGAAAAAAAAATAAATAAATACAAATTAAAAAAAAAAAAGATTGAGAGAGCCTATGAAGGAATTGAATAAGAGCAAAACAAAGTTTGTGATCTAAAGGCTTGTTAGTAATGTGGAATTTCTACTTGCAATGAGTGGGACAAATGAGTTATTTTTTCTCTTAGGAAAACGGGCAGCTTCTGCTAAATGTGTATTTTTCATTTTAATCCTGAAGATGCACCAAATAGCTAGTCATGGAGAAGGTACATATTTAACTTAATTTCTTTCAGGAATGGTTCTTACATTTATATTATTTAGTTTCTTTTACTTCCCTGTTTGAATACTTGAATAAACCACCAGTTTTACATAAAGAAAGACAAAATTCTGAGAAAAAGATGAGAATAACAGAAAAAGAATCATGAAACAATTACATACCGTGTAAAACAGTGTAATAATACCAGAAGAAGAAGAAATAAAGAAAATACAGGTGAAATATTTGAAACAATAATGGCTGAGAGTTTTTCAAATCAATGTCACAAAACCACAAAGAACACCAACCAGTAAAAATGACAAAATAAAAAACAAACAAACAAAAACAGAAAAAAACCCTACACATAGATAGATCATTTTCAAACTATGAAAAATCAAAGGTAAAGAAGACACCCTGAAAGAAGCTAGGGTGAGGGGAAACACTTTAGCTATTGAAGAGGGAAGATATGAATAATTACATCTGAAATCATGCAAGCAAGAAAAGAGTAGAGTGAAATACCTAAGGCATTGAGGAAAAACAACAACAGAAACAAAAACTATCAATCTAAAATTCTGCACCCGGTGAAAGTACCTTTCAAAAGTGAGGGAGACATTACAACTTTCTCAGACAAAAAATGAGGCAATTTGTTGCCGGTAGTTTTGCCTTGCAAGAGATGTTAAAAGTTCTTTAGGGAAAAGGAAAGTAACAAGTCAGAGACTCATATCTATATAAAAAATGAATAAGGGAAGATAAAATGAAAAACTTTTATTTTTTCTTATTCTTTGTTGATCTAACAGATAATTGTTTAAAATATAATAATGACAACATACTTGATTTTTGTTTTGCTTATGTGTAATATATATGGTATATATACAAACATATATATATATATATATATATATATATATATATGATTCTGTATGATTATAAATGATGTGGTTTGAATCTGTGTCCCCAACAAATCTCATGTCAAATTGAAATTCCCTCTGTTGGAGGTGGGGGCTGGTAGGAGGTGACTGGATAATGAGGGCAGAGTTCTCATGAATGGGTTGGCACCATGTCCTCAGTGGTGTTCTCACTGCTGATAGTGAGTGAGTTACTGTGAGATCTGCTTATTTAGAAGTGTGTAGCACCACCCCCCTCACTCTCTTCCTTCTCCTCTGGCCATGGAAGATACGACGGCTTCTCCCTTTGCCTTCTGCTATAATTATAGGTTTTTTTTAGGCCTCCCTAGAAGGCAAGCAGATGCTGCCATGCTTCCTGGATAGCCTGAAGAATCATAAGCCAATTAAACTTCTTTTCCTGATAAATTACCCAGTCTCAGGTGCTTCTGTGTAGCAGTGTGAGAATGGGATAATCTGATATATAAATGAAATGAATGACAGGAATAATACAAGGGATGGAAGGGAGACATTAATAATATTTTAATTATAATGTACTAATAATTAGGCAGTATAGTATTTTAAAGTAGACTTCAGTTAATTGTAAATGTACATCTTAAACTTTAAAGCAACAATTTGAAAAAGTAATTGATATACTAAAAGAAGAAAAAAAATAGAATAATAAATGCTCAATTTAAAACTACAAAGGACACAAAAAGAGAAGAAGACAGCTTTTCTTTCTCTTCCCGCCGCCCAAGATGCGAAAGGAAAGAAGGCCAAGGGGAAGAAGGTGGCTCCGGCTCCTGCTGTCGTGAAGAAGCCGGAGGCCAAGAAAGTGGTGAATCCCCTGTTTGAGAAAAGGCCTAAAAATTTTAGCATTGGACAAGACATCCAGCCCAAAAGAGACCTCACCCGCTTTGTGAAACGGCCCCGCTATATCAGGTTGCAGCGGCAGAGAGCCATAGTCTATAAGCGGCTGAAAGTGCCCCCTGCAATTAACCAGTTCACCCAGGCCCTGGACGGCCAAACAGCTACTCAGCTGCTTAAGCTGGTCCACAGGTTCAGACCAGAGACAAAGCAAGAAAAGAAGCAGAGGCTGTTGGCCCGCGCCGAGAAGAAAGCGGCTGGCAAAGGGGACGTCCCCACTAAGAGACCACCTGTCCTTCGAGCAGGAGTTAACAGCGTCACCACCTTGGTGGAGAACAAGAAAACTCAGCTAGTGGTGATTGCACACGACGTGGATCCCATTGAGCTGGTTGTCTTCTTGCCTGCCCTCTGTCGTAAAATGGGAGTCCCTTACTGCATCATCAAGGGGAAGGCAAGACTGGGACGTCTAGTCCATAGGAAGACCTGCACCACTGTCGCCTTCACACACGTTAACTCGGAAGACAAAGGTGCTTTGGCTAAGCTGGTGGAAGCTATCTGCACCAATTACAATGACAGATACGATGAGATCTGGCGTCTCTGGGGAGGCAATGTCCTGGGTCCCAAGTCTGTGGCTTGCATTGCCAAGCTAGAAAAGGCAAAGGCTAAAGAACTTGCCATGAAACTGGGTTAAATGTACACTGTTTCTGTAAATAAAAATAATTAATGCAAAGAGTAGAAGACAAAAATAGGAAGAAAGAGTCCCAAATAGAAAACACAAACAAACGTGGTAGATATTAATACAACTAGGTCAATAAATGCTTTGTATGACTATGGTCTAAATGGACCAATAAACAACAACAGTTGTCAGAGTAGATTAAAAAAAATACAAGACCTAATTACATGTTGTTTACAAAAACCCACTTTAAATATAAAGACACACATACAATAGAGATAAATTGATGGTAAAAATTATATGCTATTCTAACACATTTTAAAAAGCAGAAATAGCTGTATTAATTTCAGACAGAAGAGACTTCAATGCAAGAAAAGTTATCAGGAGTAAGGAAGGGCATTGTACAATGATAAAGGTGTTAATTCTCCAAGAAGATGTAACAATCCTTAAGGTGTATGTACCCAACAATGGAATATCAAAATATGTGAGGCAAAAACTGATAGAACTGTGAGGAGAAATAGATTAATCTACCATTATAGTTGAAAACTTCAACATGTTTATATCAGAAATGGATAGAACCAGCATGGTAGAACACAGTGAAACTCAGTAACACCATCAATCAAGTAGATATAATCAACATCTATACACTACTTCACCCAACAACAATAGAACATACATTATTCTCAAGCTTGCTTGGAACATATACCAAGATAGAGCAAATTCTGGGCCATACAACATACTTTAACAAATAGTAGAAATCATACAATATTTGCTCTCAGAATTCAGTGCAATTACATTAGAAATCGGTAACTGAAAGATCTCAAGAAAACTGAAAATATTTGGAGATTAAACAACATGCTTCTAAATAATGTATGAATCAAAAGAATTTTAAGAGATATTTAAAAATATTCTAAAGCGAATGAAATAAAACCACAACTTAACAAAATTTTTGGAATGCAGTGAAAGCAGTGTTTAGAGGAAAATGAATAGCATTAAATGCAAGAAAAATTTGAAGTTGATCATCTAAGCTTTCACTTTAGGGAACTGGAAAAATGAGAGTAAATTAAATGCAAAGTAAGCATAAGAAAGGAAAGTTTAAAAAAATAGAGCAGATGTCAAAGAAATTGAAAACAGAAAACCAATAGTGAAAATCAATGAAAACAAAAGGCCTATTCATTGAAAATAATAATAAGGTACATAGTCCTCTAGCCAGACTATTAAGCAAAAAAGAGAAAAGAGGAATATTACTAATATGAGAAATAAATGAGGGGACATCACTACAGATCTCATGGATATTAAATAGTAATCAAAAAATACTATGAAGAACTCTGCCCATACATTTGATAACTTTGACAAAATGAACTAATTCCTTTTGAGATACAGTCTGTCAAAACTCACACAAAAATACATAGATAATTTGAATATAAATAAATCTATTAAAGAAATTGGATAATATCATTCCAAAATAAAAGTGAATGTAAAGTGAAACACTAGGCCAAGATGAATTCATGGGTGAATTCTATCAGACATTTATGGAAAAAATACATTGATTATCCACAACCTCTTTTAGAAAACAGAATTAGCAGGAAAATTTTCTAAGACATTATGTGAGTCCAGAATTACCTTAATGCCAAAAGCAGACAAGGAAAAAGAAGGTGCAGAACATTATCTTTTATAAATGTACAAAAACGTCAATAAAATAGTAATATATTGAATTCAACAGTGAATAAAAAGAAATAAACACTATGACCAAGCAGGATTTATCCCAGGCATGTAAGGCTGGATTACCATTCAAAAACCAGTTAATGTAATCTATCACATCACTAGGCTGGAAAAGAAAAATCACATGATGACAATAGTTGCTGCAGAAAAACATTTGAAAAAAAATCCAACAGTTATTCATGATAAAAACTCAATAAACTAAGAAAGAAGAAATCTTTCTCACCTTGGTAAGAATATCTATGAAATACTATAGTTACCTTCTTACTTAATGGGGAGAAACTAGAAGCTTTTCCACTAAAATCAGGAAAAGGTAAGGATGCCCCTTCTTGCCCCTTCTTTTCAACATTGTACTAGAAATCATAGCTAATTAAATAGGACAAGAAAAGGAAATAAAAGGAATATTGATCAGGAAGGAATAAATAAAACTCTCTTTGTTTGCAGTTGACATGGTTGTCTATGTAGAAAGCCCAGGTTAATTAGCAAAACAAAAACAGAAGCCTGTAACTAATAGTGATTATAACAAGATTGCAGGATACAAGTTGAATGCATAAAAGTCAAATGCTTTTCTGTATACCAGCAATGAAAAAGTGTAATTTAAAGTTAAAAATCACAATAATGTTTACATTAGCACCCCAAATGAAATAGGTATAAATATAACAAAATATAAACAACATTAATATATGAAAAGTATAAAACTTAAGAAGTAAATTGAGGAAGAACTATATGTGGGAGATAGTCAATGATCATGGATGTCTCAATATTGTGAAAATGTCTATTCTTCCCAACTTAATCTACAGATTTAATGGAACCCCACCCAAAATCCCAGCAAGTTATTTTGTAGTATTTGCAAACTGATTCTAAAGTTTATGTGGAAATGCCAACAACACAGAAAAGACAGCTGAATATTGAAGAAAAAGAACAATGTCAAAGGGCTGACTCTGTCTAACTTAAAGACTTAGTATAAATATACAGCAACCAAAAAGCATGGTGTTGGAAAAAATAAATCAATAAAACAGGAGCGAGAGCTCAGAAAGAGACCCACAAAAAATATAGTTAATTCATCTTTGACAAAGGACCAATTGCAATGTAATAGAGAAAAGGTAGTCTTTTTAGTAAATGGTTCTGTAACAACTAGATATCCACATGCCAAAACAATGAATCTAGATATAGAATTACACTCTTCACAAAGTTAACTCAAAATGGATTATAGATAAGATGTAAAATAAGGAATTCTACAACTCTTTAAAGATAACATAGGAGAAAATCTGGATAACTTGGGCTCAGTAATAACTTCCTTGATAGGATGCAAAACACATAAAGAATGAAAAAATTGATGAGCTGGGCTTTTTTAAAATTAAAAACATCCACTGTATGAATGTGACTGTCAACAAAATGGAGAAAACAAACCAAAGACTAAGAAAATATTTGCAAAAGACATATATGAAAAAGAACTATTATCACAAATAGACAAAGAATTCTTAAAACTAAGTCAAAAGAAAATAAACCTATTCAATCAAAAAATGGGTCAGAGATGATAGGGTCTTCTAAATATACAATCATGTAGTCTGCAAATAGAGACAATTTGACTTCCTCTTTTCCTAATGGAATACCCTTTATTTTTCTTGCCTAATTGCTCTTGCTAGAACTTCCAATACTATATTGAATAGAAGTGGTGAGAGAGGGCATCCTTGTCGAGTGCCAGATTTCAAAGGGAATGCTTCCAGATTTTGCCCATTCAGTATGATATTGGCTGTAGGTTTGTCATAAATAGCTTTTATTGTTTTGAGATATGTTCCTGTGATACCTAGGATATTGAGAGTTTTTAGCACAAAGGGCTGTTGAATTTTGCTGAAGGCCTTCTCTGCATCTATTGAGATAATCATGTGGTTTTTGTCTTTGGTTCTGTTTATGTGGTGGATTACGTTTATAGACTTGCATATGTTGAACCAGCCTTGTGTCCCTGGAATGAAGCCTACCTGATTGTGATGGATAAGCTTTTTGATGTGCTGTTGCAATTGGTTTGTCAGTATTTTATTGAAGATTTTTGCATTGATGTTCATCATGGATATTGGCCTGAAGTTTCCTTTTTTTTGTTGAGTCTCTGCCGGGTTTTGGTATCAGGATGATGTTGGTCTCATAAAATGATTTGGGAAGGATTCTCTCTTTTTGGATTGTTCGGAGTAGTTTCAGAAGGAATGGTACCAGCTCCTCTTTGTACTTCTGGTAGAATTTGGCCATGAACCCGTCTGGACCTGGGCTTTTTTTGGTTGGTAGGCTATTAATTACTGCCTCAACTTCAGTCCTTGTTATTGGCCTATTCAATGTTTCAACTTCTTCCTGGTTTAGGCTTGGGAGGGTGCAAGTGTCCAGGAATTTATGCATTTATTCCAGGTTTTCTGGTTTATGTGCATAGAGGTGTTTGTAGTAATCTCTGATTGTAGTTTGTATTTCTGTGGAATCTGTGGTGATATCCCCTTTATCATTTTTTATTGCATCTATTTGATCCTTCTCTCTTTTCTTTTTTATTAATCTGGCTAGTGGTCTGTCTATTTTGTTGATCTTTTCAAAAAATCAGCTCCTGAATTTATTGATTTTTTGAAGGGTTTTTGTGTCCCTATCTCCTTTAGTTCTGTTCTGATCTTAGTTGTTTCTTGTCTTCTGCTAGCTTTTGAGTTTTTTGATCTTGACAACAGATGCTGGAGAGGATGTGGAGAAATAGGAACACTTTTACACTGTTGGTGGGAATGTAAACTAGTTCAACCATTGTGGAAGACAGTGTGGCACTTCCTCAAGGATATAGAAATAGAAATTCCACTTGACCCAGCAATCCCATTACTGGGTATTTACCCAAAGGATTATAAATCATTCTATTATAAAGACACATGCACACGTATATTCATAGCAGCACTGTTTACAATAGCAAAGACCTGAAACCAAAATGCCCATCGATGATATACTGGACAAGGAAAATGTGGCATATATACACTATGGAATACTTTGCAGCCATTAAAAAATGATGAGTTTGTGTCCTTTGTAGGGACATGGATAAATCTGGAAACCATAATTCTCAGCAAACTCACACAAGAACAGAAAATCAAACACCGCATATTCTCACTCATAGGAGGGTGTTGAACAATGAGAACACATGGACACAGACAGGGGAGCATCACACACTGGGGTCTGTTGAGGGGACAAACAAGGGAGGAACAGCAGGAGAGTGGGGAGGGATAACATGGGGAGAAATGCCCGATGTAGGTGACGGGGCGATGGAGGCAGCAAACAATATTGCCATGTGTGTACATATGCAACAATCCTGCATGATCT